AACTAATGTCACTCGTTGACTACGGTCCCTCTAACGACTGTTGCCTGTTGACTACGGTTCCTCTGACTTCAATCGTTTATCGACTATTGTCCATCTAACCTCCGTCACCTGCGGACTATAATCCCTCTGACCACCATTGCCTATCGACTACAGCCCCTTCGACTTCTGTCACATGCTACGTACTATCCCTCTAATCTTCATCACCCACTGACTATGGTCCCTTGAATCTTCATCGTCTGCCGACTACAGTCCCTCCAGCCACCATTGCCTGTCGACTACGGTCACTCTGATCTATGTTGTCCACTGACTACAGTCCCTCTGAACTCCGTCGCTCGCCGACTACGATCCCTTTAATCATCATCGCCACCGACTACCGTCCCTCCAACTTTTGTCGCCCGCTTACTATGATCCATCCGACCTCCGTCACTTGCTGATTATGATCCCTCTGACCTTCGTCATTTTGCCAACCAAATGAGCAGTCCAACACTCTATAGAGAATGACTTCATGATCATTAGATTATTCCAACCTCAACTATAATGTGATATATATGAGACATTGAGCCAAGGCTTTCCCCCATGGAAGGGCATTGTTTGTAATAGACTAAAAAAAATTAGTATAATCATTTTAACTAGGTCAGACTCCGTGATTTTTCTCATTTTTAGGATTTTTCACGTAAAAATCTTGGTGCCTATTATGACTCTTGTACCACTCTCTCTTTATTTATATGTGTGATATGATGGATCTTCACTCAAAGCTAAGACATCAAACTCTTTGTCTCTCTACTGCCATAAATGTTCCAATCCACAACATCTCTATTTTGGGACCCTCGGTATTATGACAACTCTTTATGTATGTTTGTCCCTCCACTTTATATATTATCTAATGTAGACTCAAATGCTCTTACGGCTGATTTTATTAGAAACAGTGGCTTCTTCCCCCATCCTTTCCAATTGTTTTTTCTTCAGCTATTGCTGCGCCTATTCCAATTGCTGATGCTTTTGCGGGTTCAATGTTATGGATGGGCTTGAGTAGTCCACATTTCAGACATTTAATAAATACTTTTCATTCTAATCTCACACTTGTTCTCTAGAGCAAGCAAATCTAACATAAGAAGTGCTCCCTCTGCATCTTTATATATATTTTTGGCAAATTAAGACAAATTCATACGCACATTATATACATAAAAATTGAACTCAAGACCTCTTGATTGATAGCTGAAGTTTCAACTAACATACCAGCATGAGCTGCCTCTATTATGACTTTTGCGGATGCCTTAAAATTGTAGATGTACACAAGTCTTTGTTTACATTGGGGAAATTGGTAGATATTTGTTGAAGATAAAGGCTTCGCTTGTAACGGTTTTTTTACCGC